GGTGTTCAGAGCCTTTATCATACTGGGCCATGGTTTATTGACCGATCCGAAACGTGAGCTCTGTGATCTATAGTCCTATATAACCGTCTATCAAATTTTATATTCAGTGGAAGGTCGATGCTCCGTCAAGTCTTCATTAACCAGTCAATATGATTTATGAGATTCGAACCCATCAACATCGTCTCTTCGACAGTGGCTCAACTACATAAGTGTGAGGCCGTGGAAGTCTTTTGGGCTCCTACCTTCGCCGTGGTCGCCATTATTAGCCGAGTCACGGCGTTTATTTTTGGACATGTTCAAAACAAATGCCAAGGTTCGGCGATCTGTTCTGGAACGCACTGAGAACGCCTCGGGATCTAGAAGGTCGTCAGACAAGCGTTGTAACATCTCCTTGAGCGGTATAAAAACGCAGTACACGCATGGCAAAGACGCTACAGAAACGTAAGAACGTAATATGGTCGCATAACTCGCGGTATGAGGTCGACACTGTTTTTAAGTTTGTAATATTTGACAGACCTTTTCTCTAGTTTCCTCACGTTTGACCGCGATCTAGTACATTTCCAGTCGCCGTAAGTTCGCAAATGGCCGCAGTCCGGTGTGACGGGGCTATAAGAAACCGTAGGTATAGCCCCTGCCTTCTTGAAATATACTTTATACTAAGTAAAGCCAGCAACGATAGAAATAAATATTTATGGTATCACCTAAATGGTTTGTTAATGGTCCATTTACGTCGATAATAAACACCATAGGAAATACGTCTGGAACTTCAAATTCTGATAATTTTCAGGAATCGAGTCTCAGACATTTATAATTGGTAGAGAATGGGGTCGGAAAAACTGCATTTTATTTTCTTTTGGTTAGGTCAACTGACATATTTTTCACTTAGAGAGACGAGTGTGCCATTTTGGGGGGTTGATTTGAGTCTTGAATATATATAAATAGTCTTCAGAAGTACTAGAAATGTACGAAAATCACATAATTCCTTTAAAGATATCTCAAACTAGGAATTTTACTCACTATTTCTGTAGATGTCTTTTCTATACATACATAGACGAGTCGTCATTTTAACTTTTAAACGCGGATAAATCTAGACACGCATGGATTTGAAGGCTCAAATTTCGACAGTGAACTGTGAACACTATTACTGATTGATAAAAAAAAATTCCTGTTTCTAAGACTAAGGTATCATTTGTCAAAAAATGTGGCGCATCTGTCCCTTTAAAGGGATATTCGCTAGAGTTTTTCGTGGCACGGTAGATGGATATCAGAGGCTAAGCTTGGCAACAGTCGGCAAGTTTCGAGCAATACGTAGGAATATTTACCAAAAAACTCTGGAATTGGACCATACTTTGAAGTGGAATCTTATATAATAATATTTAAAAAAAAAATTTTGAAACGTCTAGCATGGCGCCACATTTCCTATATAAAATGGCGGATGTAACAAATTGGAAAATCTGAGATATACAATAATATCATTGTATTATACTTACCAGATACAATTTTATTGCATATTAAGTTATCCATTGATCATTCAATGGAGGTTCGAGGTTTCGAAACGAAACCCTTGATATACAGACACCATTGTCGATTACTCATTTTGAGATAGTAAGGAAACTTTGAGATTTCCTTTTAAACCTTTGATCCAAAGATAACTGGTTTATCAGGGGCTGGAATGAGAAGACTCAGAGACCTTTATCTACTCAAACCGAGATTTCTATTGTGCGGGCACACCAGCGGTCTTAGTCGACGATTTTTGTCGCCGACTAGAATCTTGTCATGGGTTTCTCCGACCGGTTGTCTACCGTCAGTCGTCTTCCACTATGTCGATATCACGTTCGGATCATGCAATTGAAATGAAAATGAATCTGATCGGATGATGACGGTCTGTCTTGCAGACGATAAAACTATCGGCGACAAATATCAAACAGGTTTGATATTATAAATCCTGTCGGAAACGCGTGTAAGCGCGGGTACCCGTGAGATTTTACACAAGATTCGAGTCGGCGACCAAGACTGTTCGTATGCCCGCACCATTACGAGTGAAAGATTGGTGAAAGGCTAGACTTGTTGGTTCAAAGGCTGAAATGAGAAGACTCGTATACCCTTGACACATCTGGATGTCCTACCAGATGCACATTTAGAAAGATCTATTACAGATTAAACCACTACTACGGCAAAATATCACAGTTAGCGTCCGGTAATTTCGGATAGGCAACGATAACTTATTGCTTAAAAATATATAAATGTTCTGTAAATGCGATAATTTTTAAATCGTCTAACTATCGTAATCTTAATAGGTGCGTAGGCTTATTACGTTCGTTTGTTTTCACCGAGTCCCGTGTCTGAGAAAATGCGCAGGCGTATTTTCTGTCTTTATTCTGACAATAGAAAAACTGTTGTCGTGTCAAACACGGGACACATGGAAAAAGCGTCAAGTCGTTCGGATGTGACAATAAACCGAGTCCCCCTGTGAACGGGCTGTGCACGTTAAAGATCCCTCGACAGTTGGACGTCGAAAAAGAGTAGGCTAATGCCACTGTCCTCATTGTACATTGCATGGTGTTACCCGTCTTCATTAGCCCACATGGTGCAGAAAAGTAGGACGTAAAACCCCATTCGTTTCATTTTCATTTTCAAACACGGGACACATAATTCGTTTTCGGTATGTCGTCGGCAGTCTTGGTTGGTCTTCGGCTGTGAAGAGATTAGACTGTTAAAGTTTTATTAAATTATGTTCCCAAATTGTTCAGTTGATATAGAAATATTCTCCATAAAATACATATTGTTTTGCCTTAAGATGCCGCAGGAAATAGTCTACCTTGAAATTTTTGTGGTCTGAATCTTCAATGAAACGAGTTGTTGTCTGAATCCAAAGGGCAGATAACTCCTCCTTGACTAAAATGGATAAAAATTGACACATTTGCATAAATTACCAGTTTTACTAAAAAAAAAATGGATTTGAGTGACACGTATAATGCTGCCAATACTCAAACCGGTAAGGTTTAGACTTTCGGTTATATTTTATGACAATTGTGGACAGAAACAGTTGAAAATATGGCGTGGAATCCAGATACCAGTGTCTGTGTTTTGCCAACTTTTTGTTATTTTATTCCATACAATAGGGACAGTTGATTTGAGTCTTGAATATATGTAAATAGTCTTCAGAAGTACTAAAAAATGTACGAAAATCACACAATTCCTTTAAGAATATCTCAAATTAGGAATTTCTTTTCCTATTTCTTTAGATGTCTTTTCTATGTCAACTGAATCAACCGCCCCAAAATGTCGAACCTCTCCCTTTCATGCAATATACATTATATAGTATTTTGTGGCTGTATTTTCAGTGAGTGACAAAGCTGAATTGATAACAGATGCAGATGCTGGTAAAAGTCAAGCTGAGCAGCTGCCACTTCAAGCTGCTAAACTCCAATTAGGCAGAAAGTAAGTAGACCTCACTTTGCTCATACTCCTAAACCCCATTTCCAAAAGTAGCTGTCCTGAGGGGGATTGTGTATCGGAAACACTTGTTGGTGACAAATGTTTCAATCTGTTTGTGATATCCCACTTTGGCTTTGAACTTTTCAGCCGAGTAAATAGTGCCTGTGGGTTCAATTCTCGATTCCGTCTGATAGTCCGATGACCTTGAATAAGTCATCTTCATTCATAATTCCAGTCAACACAGCTGTAAATGGGTACAGATAATCTGGGAAAGATCAATGCCAAGAGGTTTAGTCAAGGACCAGCTGGTAGAAAGGATCCTCATTATTCCAGTCAACCCAGCTGTAAATGGGTACAGATAATCTGGGAAAGATCAATGCCAAGAGGTTTGTCCAAGGACCAGCTGGTAGAAAAGATCCTCATTATTCCAGTCAACCCAGCTGTAAATGGGTACAGATAATCTTGGAAAGATCAATACCAAGAGGTTTGTCCAAGGACCAGCTGGTAGAAAAGATCCTCATTATTCCAGTCAACCCAGCTGTAAATGGGTACAGATAATCCAGGAAAGATCAATGCCAAGAGGTTTAGTCAAGGACCAGCTGGTAGAAAGGATCCTCATTATTCCAGTCAACCCAGCTGTAAATGGGTACAGATAATCTTGGAAAGATCAATACCAAGAGGTTTAGTCAAGGACCAGCTGGTAGAAAGGATCCTTGTGAACCTAAGTTATTATCCTTGTAAAATGTAGTTTTTTAAATCTCTTTTCTGAGAAGTGACACAGATGGCTTATCAATATTTTTTTCAGGCCCATTGATCATTCTCTGAGTTTTCGTATCATTGTGGTATCAGGGTTGGTGTTTGCTGTTGCCATTACTGTAGCTTTGATATTGTCCATCTACTTAGGACCTCCGCAGGTACGTGTCATTTTATAAGCCCACTTAAAAATGAGGTCCTCCATGCAGATAAGAGGGGCTGACATTGCAAAAGCATCTAGTTGTTTGGATGGGACAATAAACTAGGGTCTGTATGCTAGTTAGATAAAGATCCCTTGACAGTCGGAAATCAAAAAGAGTAGGCTAATGCCCCTGTCCTATCCTGTTCACCCTGGCTCCCCCCTTTCAGGGATGCAGGTCGAAGGGGCTAACACAGGAAAAGAATGTAGACTTGGACCTTTATGCTGTACATGTTAAAGATTCAAAAGTTGGAAATCCACCTAAATCACGAAAATCACTGTTCCATCAAAATTTGCCCCATTGTTCACTGCATGGTGGATCTTTGTTAGTCCATCAAGAGCAGGGAATGGGGATATAAAACCCTAATTCATTTCCGAATTCCAAAAATGGTTTTTCGCCTTTCGATGATGAATACAATAAACTAAGGCTCAATCAGTGACACAGGAACATTTTCAAATCAGCTGTCCTGATGAGGGTTTGATATCTGAAACACTGTTGACATGTTCCCTATAGCCACCCCTCATGGATTTATCAAAGGGTCACGAGCCTGAATATATATCAGCCTTTGATACATCACTTGTCATTCTATTACAGATTGGAGATACAGGGGCAGTAGCCACTGACGCTGAGCAATGTTCTGATTTAGGGCTACAGATGTTAAAAGATGGCGGAAATGCAGTAGATGCAGCTGTCACGGCAACGCTATGTCTTGGCGTTATTAATCCGCAGAGCTCTGGTCTTGGAGGGTAAGTTTCAGTTTAATTAAATTACACCAACCTTTCGCTTCGTTTGAGATTGAATTTTTTTGCTAAGCCAATCAGTAATAGTGTTTACAGCTCACTGTCGAAATTTGAGTCTTCAAATCCACGTGTGTCTAGAATTATCTGCATTTAAAAGTTAAAAAGACGAGTCATCTTTTCTTGAGACACTGTGATATATAGAAAAGACATCTATAGAAATAGGAAAAGAAATTCCTAGTTTGAGATATTTTAAAAGGAATTATGTGATTTTTGTACATTTCTAGTAATTCTGAAGACCATTTACATATATTCAAGACTCAAATAGCATATTTTCAAATCAGTTGTCCTGATAAGGATTTGATATCTGAAACACTGTTGACATGTACCCTATTTTAATTTCAGAGGAGGTTTCATGTTGGTCCATGATCATAAAGTGGACAAGTCATGGGTGTATGATTTTCGAGAGGTAGCACCTGCATTACTGACCGCTGATATGTTTGGTTCCGATGAAAACTTGTTCTATAACGTAAGTATTAACTTGGTCTACCTGTAATTTGAATTAGGGCTGTGTAAAACAATCGAAATAATCTACTATCGTCACTAGGAATTTATAATTTCGATTATCGATTATCAAATTTCATAGTGAATTATATGTCAAAGTTACATTTTCTCCACTGTACCCGTTAACAAGTAGTAATCTCTTCTACATAGTTTCTCTTCAACACATAACATACCCACAATAAACTATAATAACTGATCAAAACAAGAATATACTTCTATAACACAAAAATAACCCATGAAATTAAGAATTTTGTCAAGTTTTTAATTTAGTATTTACAGGTTTTCTTAATTAAATTATTTTGATTATTAATTGATTATTGATCGTTAGTCTGCCCTAGACCTAATTCCTAGGAAAGATCCTACTGTCTGAGTAGGGTTGCCAAGAAGTTTAGAACCATCTGGTAGAAAGAATCCTCGTGGACCTAAGTTGAAAGTCTTTGATTTTATTTTGTAGAGTGGTCTATCAGTAGGGGTACCTGGTGAACTGAAAGGATTGTCTGCTGCTCATACAGCACATGGAAAGTAGGTATTTTCAGAGAGTTCACAATTGGGTTTGGGGAGTCCACAGATGGTTTTGGAATTCCATAATTAGTGTTGAGTGTCCACAATTAATTTTGAGAGTCCACAATTAGTGTTGAGAGTCCACAATAGTTTTGAGAGCCCACAATTAGTGTTGAGAGTCCACAATTAGTTTTGAGAGTCCACAACTAGATTTTGTAGTTCAAACTTAATATTGAGAGTCCACATTAGTTTTGAGAGTCAACAATGGTTGTGGGAGTCATCAATTAGTTTTGGGAGTGCACAATTAATTTTGAGAGTCCACAATGAGTGTTGAGAGTCCACAATTAATTTTGAGAGTCCACAATTAGAAATTAATAGACTATTTAGAACTATTAGTAAAGAAATCAACTTGTGAGATAATTCTCTCATTGGACACAAATCTGTAGGTTTTTTAATTGTATTATGACATCATTTTAGGGTATTACGTTGTCATATTTGCTTGTTATCATTACAAAAATTCCAGTCTCTTTCAAATTTAATTTTAAATTTTAACTGTGGTAAAGTGGTAAGAATTTGGACACATGTTAACCCGGTCTCGTGCTATCTTCTCCAGATTAAAGTGGTACAACGTGGTAAAACCGGTGGCAGATTTAGCAAGGAATGGTTTTAATGTCACAAAAGCTCTAGGTAATTATAGCAAAAAGGATCTCCCAAAGGGTTATGAGTCAGTTTGAATTTAACCCTTGATACAGCAGCTCAACTTTTACTTTTTGTATATTTTTAATAGCTCCCAGTCAAAATATTTTCCTCATTGCACACTGCATGGTTTTCCCTGTCTCCATTGGCTCATCCTCAATTCTGGAGGCTGTGGTGGTTCAGTGAGTTAGATGCTTGCTCACTAACCTGAAGGTCCAGGGTTCAATCCCAGCATAGGTCGAGATAATACTTCTGGATTTTTCAACCTGTGTATCCCCCTGTCAGTGATGCAGGTAAGAGCGGCTGACATGGAAATAGGGTCTAGTCGTTCGGATGGGACAATAAACCGAGGCCCTGTGTGTACAGGCTGTGCACATTAAAGATCCCTCGACAGTTGGAAATGAAAGAAGAGCAGGCTAATGCCGCTGTCCTGACAAAATTACCCTCATTGCACCCTACATGGCATAGCCCGTCTTCATTAACCAACATGGTGTAGAAAAGTAGGACGTAAAACTCCCTTCATTTCATTTCTATTTTTAGCTCATACTTTGGATACTAGAGTTAAAGTAACAGATATGTCCCCCAAGATGAAAAGCATTTTCAGTTTAGATGGTCGAGCTGTTCAGGAAGGTGATTTTATAAATCGTGTAGACCTGGCTGATGTTTTGGATGAGATTGCTAATGATGCGGATGCCCTTTATTACGGCGCTCTTGCTGATGATTTTGTCAAAGCGGTAAGTATTGTAATAGGGGCTGACCATGCTTCCTCTTTTCGAAACACCTGATGGTACTTCTCTTTTGAGGAGTCCACTACTATACAACTTTTACTCACGATTTAGTCATTGTAAAGAGGTTTTGTTATTTTAAAGGGATTGTAAAGAGGTTTTCTAAAAATTTTATGTGTATCAGGGACAGTGATAGCATCAATTTACACCATTCTAATTTTCAATCAGATGTCTGTGGTTCCTGCAATTCCGTTAAAACTTGATGATTGATGAAGTCACTCTCCATTAGTTTTAGTGGAATTGCAGGAACCA